ATGGAAGTTTACTACACTTTTTGCTCTATATGGGAACCTATTTGAAATATATCATAATAAAATGTAATAAACTGAAATACACTAAAAAATGAAAAGTTGCTCAACAGAGAAACACTTGTTCTTGGGCAGAGGGTACCACTGCTGTCCCCTAGTGGTCACCTTCTAAATAGCTCACCTGCAGCCCTAACTCCACTGATGGGGCTAGGGGAGCAGCTCAGGGGTACAGTACTTCCCTGGCATTTACACAGCTCTAGGTTTGAGCCCCAGTACTGAAAAACGAACCAACATAAGTGACTGCCTTTGGCTGCGGATGGAGCCATCCTCGACCTCATCATCTGAAGCTACTAACATGACCCAGTTGCCTCCTGAATCGACTCTCCAACTGCAGTTTCAGTTCACGACGTGCTCGTATGCCACTACCAGCCACTTTGAAAAATAAGGCATCAGAGAACAGACATCATCACTTAATTCAAAAATTCAAGGATGCACTGGACCCAGACACACAATGGTAATCCCAGCATTGTAGGAAGCTGAGGCAGAAAGATCACAAATTTAAGCCCAGATAGGGCAACATGCAACATCCTGACTGGGAATCTAGCTCAGCACTAAAGTCCCGGATTCAAACCCCAAACTGTAGAACATCTGATATAGGAGTGGACGGCCCGTGCCGTCCCCTCGAGGCTCACCGTGCTGAGAGGAGGAGGACTTCTCCAGCATGGACTTGTACAGGTTGCGGAAGGACCAGCTCAGGTCCTGGAAGTTGATCTCCGAGTAGGAGAACTTGAAGTCGTGGTTGGTGTTATAGAGCTGAGGCGGACCCTCCGTGCTGTCTCGTCCAGTAGCCCCTGCAGCCACCACGCCGCCATCCACAGACCCTGCGCCCTGTGAAAGCAAGAAAGCCCTGAGCCTCTGCGCCCTCTCCCGACTGCTTAGGGATACCAGGCTGCTGTCCTTCTTTTCCCACCACTCTGCTGCTCCTTGGGATATCCTCATCCACTCGCTTTCCTGCGCACAGCTTCCTGGCTTCCCTTCCACTCTTCTCTCCCTCTTTTCCTGATGTTTCTGAGCTCTGCTCTGTCCTCTCTCCCTGTGCCTCTCTCTCACCCCTCTTCTTCCCTTTTTCTTTCCTCTTCTTCCCAAATGATCTGCCTAACACACCACAGAAACCACCGTTCCCCCTCACCCAGTGACAGCACCACTCATTCACTGCCATACCCCCAACCAGTACCAGCCCATACACAACCTCCTCCCACCTGGTTGTAGCCGGCCACAGAAGCAGGGCTCTGGAGCTGCCCCTGGGGGTTCCCCTCAGAAGGCAGGGAGGCTTCTGCACCCCCTGGGATGACTCCCCGAGGGCTCTTGCTGGCCTCCTGTTCTGGGGAGTCTTGGGAGAGCTGTGGATGAGAAAGAAGAAAATTACAAAAAAAAAAGAAGAAGAAAATCCATGAGCCAGTGAAAAGCATCTCCCAGAAACCTGTGTCTTCCCCACACTAGCATCCCTCTGTCCCAGAAAGGACTGGGTATCCCGGGAAGGACAGGTGGGAAGGGACTCACATCATCATCCGGTGGGTGTCTCCTCTTCCGGGAAATGTCAGGGCAGGTGTCAATTGTCCAGTAAGAGCCCTGCAAGGAGGACCCAGGCACACTGAGAACAAAATCATCACCTAGAAGTTTACATCTTTGGAAACAGAGCTGCTAGCAGAATTTTCATGTAATACTACAGTCATGTTAGGAAATAGTGGTAGAGTGCTTAGCTAGCATGAAAGAAGCCCTGGCTCATCCCCAGAATCACAAAATACAGAGAGAGCCAGACAGAGGGATGGGGAACAGGAGGGTAGTGGGACAGATAGTAACATTAAACCCAACTGCATAAGATGTAGGGTAGTAATAAGCTTCTCTTCTGGAGCATTAACAACCTAAGTTTACAGACCAAAAATTGGAGAAATAGAAGGGCTGCAAGGACAGCCAACATTTCGGCCCTAGTCATTCAAGGTCAGTGAAGACTCAGGACATAGGAGAACCTAGACTGTAACATCCTGTAACTTAGTTGTGTCCCAAATTTTCTGATCAAGGAGATTATGGCCACAGAGGAACATGATCGATCATGTAGAGTGTGCCCAAGGAGAGTCACCTGGAAAGAAAACATTCCGTCAAGCTTTCACAGAGAACAAATTGGTCAAGCAATGGCCGCGCCCCATCCACATGGCTGACACTGACAAAGGATCTACAAAGTGCGGTACAGGGTTACAGGATAAATCCTGAGGGGACTTGACTGACCTTATCAGATACAAAAGTTACATTTCTTGTTATACAGGTCTTGCTTTATCTTGATCTTAACTATCCAGCAGAAAAGTATAAAAGCGAGGTATATAAAGTAAAGCCATATTAATATGCTGAGCTATGAAAGGCTCAAGTCAACGACTTCTATGGATAACCCACTACTATTGTGGACTGCTGGACTGTGTTGGGTTGTTTTGCTGAATTCACACACCTGTAGTATTTAGATGCCAATGGACTCCGACAGGACTAAACAAAAAAAGGGGATACAAAGGAAGGACCATTTTGTATCTGTATATGCAGAATAGCTAGGATAGATATACAGCTACTTTCGCTTAATTCAATGAGAAGAAAGATTTGTACCAATAGTGGTTTTTTTTTAACCATTTTTTTTTCATTTTATTTATTTATTTATGTGTGTGTGTGTGTGTGTGTGTGTGTGTGTGTGGCCAGCTCAGCCCACCAGGGGGCGGGGTTGGCTGGCATGTGGTGCTGGGCGATTGAACCGCGGTCCCTGTGCTTTGCTAAGCTTGTTCTAATTAGGTGCTTTAGACCACTGAGCCATCTCACCAGCCCCCCAATAATGTTTTGAACAGGGCATTTTGTCTCCATCTTGTACTATGGATAACCACTAAGAAGATAACAATGTACAATGTATTAATTATTGAAATTGTCCTATTAATCAGTTTTAAAACTGTCTCACTGATATTTCTCAATAAAATAATTTTTTTTTAATTTTTTTTTTTTTTTTTTGCGGAACCGGGGATTGAACTCAGGCCCTTGTGCTTGCCAGGGAAGCACTTATTCCACTGAGCCATCTCCCCGGTCCAATAAAATAAAATTAAAAAAAAAAAAAAAAAAAAAGGAGTGTACTGGGCAGCTGAGGGTACTGGGTGTCACTGAGGAGTAAATTTGCCCTACAGGCTCAGTGTGCCAAACACACACCTGTGCTCAAAGACAGCCTCGGTTATTCGGAAGACCTAGAACAACATTCAGAAAACTAAGACTGTTCCGAGCCAGTCCTTCCCTTCCCTTGTGACCTAAGGCAAGGCATTTCAGTTCACATTCATATCCATCAAACAGGGAGGTGCTGCTCCATCCCTTCTTGCTTTGAAGTAAAAAACCAGGTATTTTTCTGTAGAAAAATTCCTATAAAGTTTATGAGGTTGAGATGGGCATGGTGGTGCACACTTATAATCCCAGCACTCAGGGGCACTGAGCCAAGAGGATCTCTGTGAATTTGAGGCCAGCCTGAGCTACACAGTGAATTCGGAGCTAGTCTGACTACACAATGAGACCTTGTGTCAAAAAACAAAACAAGTCCTGGAGATAGCTCATTGGCATAAGCACCTACCCAGCAAGCACAAGGTCATGAGTTCAATCCCCAGGTACCAATAAATAAAACAAAACAAAAGAAAAATTTTATGGAGTCAGCCTTTGACATCTAGACAAAAAGAGTACCACAAAAGAAAGGGGGCCTCAAGGTAAAATTTACCATAAATAGTCCATTAAAAAAAAAATTCACAGCATCTCTTTGTCACTCAGTGGGGACTCACAAGGTCTTCACAACCAAGCTCCCTCTGAGAAAAAGTAAAGATGCTTTTCCAATTAACATAATTTTCTCTCTGGGATAATTAAAGCAGTCATGCTCTGGCCCTCAAGCACTAGGCTCTCCTTCCTGCTCCTTGGTCCGTACAGCCATGCCTCACCTTCCCAGGGTCATCCCGAGGTCGGGGCACCTTCCGGAAGCACTTGTTGAGAGATAGGTTGTGCCGAATGGAATTCTGGGGAAGGAGAAAAGCAAATTAGATATGAGCACTTTGCAAACATTTCCAATTATTCCAAAAATTATGCAAGAAAGTTCAAGTATCAGGTAAAGTTGGCATCTCTCACTATATAAATGGCAAGAACTATATATCAAGAAATCAAGGGCCATGAAGCTAGCCACAGTGGTGCACACCTATAACACTGGCATGCTGCGAGCTGAGGCAATAGGCCTGAGCCCAGCCTGGGCAACTCAGCCACTCAGAAGACCCTAACTCAAAATTCGAAAAGGCTGGGGTTGTAGTTCAGTGTGAAGATCTAGGGTTTCAATCTCTAGTACGAGAGAGAGAGAGAGAGAGAGAGAGAGAGAGAGAGAGAGAGAGAGAGAGAATGATCAGGACAATGGCATAAAAAGAATGCACAAATTTAGGAGAGGTGATGGCTACAGATGTGACTATCAGTGCTTCCCAAGCCCTGCATCTGACACCAGGTAAACACTTCACAGGACCTTCTGTTCAGTTCCTCAAGGTACAGCAAAAGACCCTTTTAGAACTGTTTTTGTGATTTCTACGAAAATATAAATCAGGAACAAAACAGGCTCAGATCACCTGCATGCTCTCAGGAGCCCCCGTGGAGGGTCGCCCCTGGGGGACAGAAACCATATTGTTCGCCTGTGAGGTGGGGCAGGGCTCTGTATGGCCAGGAAGCCGGCTGCTTCTCACAAGCTGTGCTCCTGCCAAGGTTCGTACACCTGGCCGCCTGGCCCACAACTGACAAGAGTGGGAAGGCGGAAGTCAGGGCCCTTCCCCACGCAACACCTAGCGAAGGAGTGACAGTCCCAAAAGAGGTGAAAACATCAGCCCTCCTCCTCCTGTTTTGCTCACAAGAGAAGCCTCCTCTCCCTTCATCTCTAGCCAACCAACCTCTCATTCCTTGCCTGGCGGACCAGGGGTTGGTAAATGACCTAACAATATATATATATATATTCCCTCGGTTTACAGTTTTTCAAACAAGGCTGATTATGTGCCACAAAGCAATGGAAATCTGATAGGTGGGGGGAGCTACATCATGCCTCACACCATGACCTGAACCTGAAAAAGTGGCGATAAGTATTTGTGAAATGAGTATCCTTTCTGAGGAGTCAGAAGATACGACGGCAACCCACCATCCTGTAACTACACTTAACAGCTTAGCATCAATGACAAACCTTATGAAAACCACTGGACTTTAAAAAACATAAATAAATAGATAAATATTTTAAAAAATAATAATGGGCTAGGCAGATAGCTCAGCCAATTAAAGCTCCTGCTTAAGCAGATGTAGGAGCTGGATTCGATCCCCAGCCTGCCCTGCTGGTTCCACCCCTGGGGCGCACTGAGTAGACAAATGAGACTGGGCGTGGTGGTGCGAGCCTGTAATTCCAGCATTTGGGAGGCTGAAAACAAAAGGATCCCTATGAGTCTGATCTACGCAGTGAGACCCTGTAGACCCTGTGCTAAAATACAAGAACTAAATAAATAAATAAAAACAAATTTTAAAAATAATAAGACATGAATTTTAAGTTTATACATCTCCAAGACAAGGCAGGAAGAAGCAGACCAGGTCACAGGAAGAAACAAACGCAGAGAAAAAAGTTATCAAAGACTAAGACTACAGCGGCTGGGGTTCCACCCCAGGCAGGCCATGCCAGACCCACCCCCAGGGCACACTGAGATGGCACCAACTGAGACTGGGCGTGGTGGTGTGCACCTGTAATCCCAGCACATGGGAGGCTGAAAACAGGAGAACCATTACAAGTCTGATCTCTGTAGTGAGACCCTGTAGACCGCACAGACCCTGCCCTAAATACATTAAAAATAAATTAATAAATATTTTTTAAAAAGACTAAGGCTAAGAATAAGGCTGAGCTACAGGCCCAGTCCCACCTTCCAGCCAATGCCAGCGTTCTTGTAGTAGGGGAAGTTATCGCAGATCCAGCGGTAGATCTCACTCAGGGTCATCTTCTTGGCTGGAGATGAGTTGATGGCATAGGTGATGAGGGTGGCATAGCTGTATCGTGGTTTGCCATCCTGGTGGACAGCAGCCTCGTCTTTGCTCAGGGTGGCACTAGGATCAGTAGGTGAGCCCGGGGAACACTTGCGGCTGCCCCCCGGAGGCCCCGCCTGTGAGGCGCTTCCCAGCTTCTCGATGGTGGCCCGCAGAGTCAGCTGAGGGAGCCAGTCTATGGAGGTAAGGCTGCTCTCCAGGTCGGAAGCCATGGTACTTCTGGGCTCTGCAAAGACCACAAAATGGGGTGGAAAATGGATCAGCACTCCATCTGGCTACTGGGACAAGAGCCACCCAAGTCCTGCCAGATGTGGTGGTGCACACGTAATCCCAGCACTCTGGCGGCTGAGGCAGGAGGATCAAGTCCAGCCTGGGCAATTTAGCAAGTCTCCATCTCAAAAAATAAAATGGGCTAGGCCACTAGCTCAGAGCAAAGGCCCTGGGTTCAATCCCCAGTACTGAGGCCAGTAAGAGACAAATGCCCACTCCCTGTTTTACCTTAGTAATTTCTTCCCACTATAATTCCCAAGAAAATACACAGTGGGGATAGCTCTCAACCAGTGCTCCAAGAATCCTCCCACAGTTCTGGCACCAGACGGGTGCGGACAGATACTTAGGCTACATCGCAGGGTGGAGCACAGCTGAGAGGGCACTCCCCTCGTATGGGACCAGGAAGCAAATCTCACACCTCAACTACCCTTGCTGAGCCGAGCCCTGAGACTTAGTATTTCAAAACTCCACTGGAGTAAGTTTAAAGGAAAAAAAAAAAAAAAAAACTCACTTAGAGCACAGTTTAGCTAAAGTGTCTTCACCAATTATCTGACCTCTGTGAATTTCCATAGCACATCTTGAGGCAGGTGGCACGTGTGTGCGTGTACAAAACATCAGCGGGAATAAACACAAGCAAACGTTGAGGAAGCCCAGGCCAACACTTGTGAAGATGCGTCCTCTCGGATACACTAGGAACACTCAACCTTTTAATGCCACACGCAGGACCCATCCAGGCATAAACGACACATGATAACCCGGAAAGGACGCTATCAAACTGATACACAAACAGCAGCGTACACACCCAACATCACAATGAGTGACGCAGCACACGTTCCCAACAGGCACAAAACCGCACGCAGCAAAAAGAGATCGTGAGCAAGCGAGTGAGCGCACAGCAGTCCTAACACCTTGAATGCTCCCGCCCACAGACCAGGAAGGAGTCACTGGCAGGGTCCTCCCACCGCTCCCAGGCCGGGAGACACCCAGCTGTGCTACACCGTGACAAGCAGATAGCCCGGCTAAAAATAGCCTTAGCCTCTCTGGGGCTCCTCCTCCCTTCCCAGCCAGGCACGCAGGCTCCTGCACCTCCAGGCGAACTCCTAGCTGCCGCCCACGCCTGAGGTTTGCACGCCCTGCTGCGACCGCACCAGCCGGTACTCTCTCTGCCAGCAAGGTGCAGCCACAGTGCCATCTTGGTGGGGAGGCTTAAGAACAGAGGGCGACACTGGCAGGGTCCTCCTGGGTCCTGGAAAGGCTGGTACGGGCCATTTGTCACTCACTCGGATGGGATGCCAGCAGCCCCCAGAGCACTTGCTACAGGACAGGTTTGTGTGTGCACAGCTGCCAGATCCCTGCCATAATTTCTTCCTCAGGCCCACCAGGGAGGGTGACGTGCTGCCGGACCCAGGAGCACACTGCTGGGCTTACAGAATCCTGGACAGAAACATCTTCTGCCCTTAGGTGACGCCTAGATCCATGTACTCACTTTGCAAGCTCAGTCCCAGACATCTTCTCTCTCCTCTCCCAAGCAGAACACATTCTGCAGGCAAGAAGCTGTGCCTCAGTCCTTGACACCTACCCTCCCGGTAAATTCAGGGCTCCCAGCTGTTCTGTCCCCACCTCAGGACCCACGCAGGCAATCTGCCTGTAGACATACCCAGCCCCGAGCCCCTAGGCCACTGCAAGCCCATCCACACGGTGGGAGGGACACCTCAGCACCCCAGCACTGGGCAGCAGAGCACCCAGCTTTGATCACAGAGCTGTGGGCTCCAGGAAACCAGCAGGGTTATAAATAGCAGTGTGGAAGGTTTCCCCTTTAGCCTTAGCTCCTCTGCACTACCCTCTTCTTATTCCACTACCTCCCCTGTGCTTGAAACCATGGAAACTTGGAAAATAATAGGGACACTTAATCATTCCAGGAAGCCACACACCTTCTAGGACTTCACTAAATCAAAACACCCCAGACTCTGGGCTATCACAAGAAGCTTGGATGACTGCACAGTCCTATACACCAGCTTTCCCAGACAAACAGGACAACCCGCAGGCTCTCAGTGGAATCCTCTCCAGAAGGGAGGCCTAGGCTCTATTTTCTTTCTTTTTTCTCTCTCCTTTTCTTTCCCTTTCTATAGAGACGGGGTCTTGCTATGTTGCTCAGGTTGGCCTTGAACTCAAGGGATCATCCTGCTTCTGCCTCAAGAGTAGCTGGGAGCGCAGACGAGCACCACCACACTCAGCTCCTTACTCCCTCTTCCTCCTGCTAAAGATCCCTAGGAAATGCCATCTGAAGAGCGAAGAGATCTGTCGGGGCATGGTGGCCCACCTGTAATCCCAGCACTTGGGAGGCTGAGGCAAGAGGATCCTTGGGGGCTTGAGACCAGCTGGGGCTAAAAAGGGAGATCAAGGCCAGCCTGAACTGCACAGGGAGACCCTGTCTCGAAAAGACCAAAAATACAAAAAGAGAAGACTTTCAGCTGATCTCTCCTCCAGAACCCTCTTAACTTGACACCTGAGCATGACACTCAGTGTGGCACATGACAACCACCCCAAAGTCCCAGAGGAGTGATGCTCTTCAGTCTTCCCTGGCCTCACTCCAGCACCAGGCCCAGACCTTAAAGTTAAAACTGACTTTTTTCCAATACCCTTTGCCTCAGTCCTCCAGAGACAAGACTCGGCCTTCTGCACAGGTCCAATCTTACCAGCTACCAGAGCCCCGAGGGGTTGTCTTCCTGTCACTGGGCCTTAGCCTGACACTTCCCCATTCTCCAGGAGCAGCTCCGTGGACAGAAGAATTCAGAGACTAAGGTTCCCCGGCCCTGTCTCCTGGGGCTGCTGACTCCCTACCATCCCTTCTCCCTCAGTTTCCCCTCTAATAGAAGAAGCGGGGTCACAGCCCTGCCAAGGGAAGCTTCACCCCAGGCGAAAGGGAATGGAGCTTAATGAGCTCGTGGCTGCCATGCATTCCGCACTCCCCAAAATAATGGCACGAGGCTAATCTCTGGGCTATTATTAGAAAATCAAACAAGAGGTAGCTCCCTTCTCAGTCCAATCAACCTAGCTCCCTGACCTCTCTCCCCGGTGGGCCTTGAGCCACGGGCCTATGCAGACCCTGAGTCAGGCCACATTCTTGTGACCCTGCTGGAAGCCCAAAAGGAAACAACCACAGAACCTGAGAGGCAGCCAAAGGTAGGTCCCACACCCCACAGCCTTCTCACACAGACGCAGGGCTGGGTAAGGCAGGCATCGACAGCAGAACACTGCTGAAAGGAAACACAAACCCTGAGTAACTCCAAATAATCATCACTTTCCTCCCCATTCTACCTGAATAACTCACAATCGTCCCCTGGGCAGTGCCAAAGTGAGGTATTACCTAGCACTAACTTCCTGACCTGTGCCTAATGCCAAAACTAACAAGGCAGCAGCAGACCATCCTCACCATCATCCCCACCAGCTGCCAACAGGCTGCACAAAGCAGGTAACACTTCACCCCCTCTGCGATTTCATTTGTCTACAAAATAAAGATGGTAAGTACCCACAGGGTGTGTGTGGATTGTCTCAGTATCTATAAAGCACTTAGAAAGCACCACCGGAGGGTAGCTATTCATTTTGAATGGGGGAAGAATACCTAAAGGGCTGAGAGTGTGCCTTAGTGCTACAGCATGGGTTAGCACTCATGCAAAGCCTTGGGTTCAATAATTCCCGGCAAGGGAGAGAGAAATGAAGAATATTAGACATTAAAACTCAGAGGCTGGGGAGATAGCTCAGAAGCTTAAGCACCTGCGTGGCAAGTCCTGAGTTCAATCCCCACTACAAAAAAAAAAAAAAAAAAAACCCTCAGAAAACACAGACCTTAGAGGTAAGACCTGCAACAGTTTGTGGTGCAAATCCGACACCAAGATTGTAATGATTTTCTGCATGTCTGAATCTCCAATGTTTCCTTTTGGAGATTGCATTACCCAGTACTAATGCTAAGATCTGGAAAACCCCAGGATAAAGGAATGGAGAAAATCATCTCTTATCTCTTAGTACAACTACGAAGAGTCACGCGATGAGGTCTAGAAATCTAACCTTACTCAACAGCCTCCTGCTTCTCTAGAGGATTCCTCCCAGGCAAGGAGCTGGGAACGCTCACGGGGCAGGGCCAGACACAGCAGGATGCTCGGAGCTGTAGCTGCAGCTGGCTCTGGGCCATCCACAAGTGGCACTCCAGCATCTGGTAAAGTGCTTTTGTAAGAAACAGGCGGCTGTTATGCCAGAACCAATTCTTCTAAAAGTTGAAGGACTGGACTTTTCATTTTTGAAATGAAAAGTATCAGGGATGAAGCTGTCTTGCTGGCCCCAGAAGCAGTCCTATCCAGTGCCGTCCTTGCCTGCTGCTTGGGATGAGGGCTCCCTGGGCTGAGACAGACCAAGCTCCCGCCCTAACTGGGCATCCTTGTACACCTTCTCTAGGTCCTCAAACAACACAACTTGAGGGGCCAGAGGATGGTCTCACAAGCACAGATGTACCTTTCTCCAAACATCATTCCCCTCGTTCCTCCACCCAAAACACAAAGGCGGAGCCACACTCTCCTCAGGTGAGAGGCAAAGGCACTTGTGCTACAGCACTGCAGCCAGATCAGCAAGTGTATCCCTGCCCCACCAGCCACTACTAGCAGGCATCTATCTGCCAGGACCAGGGGAACAGATTTAGGGATCGGACAGCCCAGACACACAGGGAAGAACCTGTCCTGTGGGCTTGCTGTGGGGTACGGCACCCCTCAGAGTCAGAGTTTCTTCCTTTTGTGAGGCAGGAAAGCTGACACCTAGCTATGACTTCAGGCTGAAAGGCAGGCAGCCTTGCTGGGAGAGAAGCCCTCCAGACACCTTTTCTTGCCTTTTCTGGAGACTCTGGACTTTAAGGATTCCTATCTCAAGAAAAGAAACCTAACTACAAGTTTCCAGGGACCCAGAACTGAACAAGAAACAGAAAGGGAGACGGTGAGATTTGCAGGTATGTCTCTTGTAGGAAACTAGTAAGCTCCTTGGAAGTCAAACCATTCTGTGGTCACCTTATCCAGATGGAATGAAGCAAGCTGAAAAACTCCAGTCTCCTATCCAGGATCTGGTTTTTCCTAAGGAACTAACAGGAGAAGTGTAGGGAATTGGGCAGACCCAGTGTTAGGAAGAACTTCAACTCCGGAGTGGGCATTTCTCCATCCACCTGCCACTGAGGACAGGCAGGTTTCTCAATTTGATCCCTGGATCTAGGGCAAGGCACACAGGCAGTTGTGCAGGAGAAGTGGTGTCTGAGGTAGGCCATGAGGGCGGACTGCTTCCCTTGCTCTTTATAGGGCCAGTCATCACAGCAGGCTAGAGAGGACCCCACCAGTGGGCATCATGCTGATTTCTCTAGCGAGCCCTAGGACACGGACGCCAACACGATTTTGTTGAGGGCAACTGTCGGCAAGCAGGCCCCCAGTTGGCAGGCGGCGTGGGAGTCCCTGGGTTCTGCCTGTCTCATTACACAGGATGCCGGACTTGGTTGGGAACACACACTGTGGGCTCTCTGTCCCCAGCAGACACATCCACTTCCCTAAGGGCCTCCCGTAAATCGCACCCTTAGACTCCGCACACCAGGAAACCCATTTCTCAGCCTCTGCAGCAAGCTGTTGGTTTAAATCAGAAGATGCTTCAGAACAGTCATTTCCCAGATGACTGAGTCCTCCCGGCCTCCCTAATAGATCCACCGTTTCAGCCCTGACACCCACTTGTTCCTAAAGACACCAGGGAGAGGAGCACCGAAAGCACTAACCTGTCTCGAAGTTTCCCCGAGCAATAGGATGAAACAGCCGGGTCCTGGAGTTTGGGGTTGGAGGGAGTCCCCTCTTCAGAGGCAGGTGACAGGTCTCATCCTCAGCGGCTCTTCCGGTACTTGGTCGAGCCTCCCAAGCTGGCGAGGGGCACTGGGTCCCCTGAGGCCGGGGCGCAGAGGGTGGAGGAGAGGGAGGCCCTACCTGGGGGAGGTGGCACGGCCCCCACACCCTGCCCGCTGTCCGGGGGAGGAGGGGAGGAGCCTCTCCCAAGCCAGAGTCGTCTCCTCCCCCTCGGGCAAGCACCTCTGCCCCCGAAGCTGGGTCTCTAGCAGGCGGAGGGTGCCTTCGGTCTGCAGGAGCCCCAGGCAGAGGGGCCGGGCCGCGGTCCACGGTCAGGGCCCGGGTGAGTGGAGAGAACCGTCCGGCCGGGCGCGGGGTAGCTGCAGCCCGCGGCTCCCCGCCCCTAGCGCGCCCCGGGCTCCCGCGCGTCAGGACGCCCCGCTCGGTGTGGGCCGGGGCCGGGATGTGCGCCCCGCGGGCAGGACCACTCCGCGCCGACTGCGAGGTCCTCAAGAGTCCGCAGAGCGCGGCCGGAGGGCGGCGGCTTCCTCAAGGAAAGAGCAGCTCTGTCCACTTCTGGGATCCCCTCCCGAGCCAGGATGGAGTCCCGTCGCCTCCGGGAAGGACGGGCGCGTCCCCTGCGCTCCGTCAGACTCCTGCGGCCCCGGCTCCCGCCTCCGCCCGGCACCCGGGGCGGGGTTCTCGGCTCCCCGCGCTCCCCGCGCACCCCGCGCCGGCCTGGGCGGCGGGGTCCAGAG